CGCGGGAGCCGCGCTAAGTTTGCACGGTGGGGCCCGGCTGGGGCCCGCGGGCTCCCGGAGCCCCCGGGCCTTGAAATGCAAAACTCGGGGATCGCTCTGCGCGCAGATGTGACCCACGAGTGGAGGTGTGCGGGTGCGTGGTTATGTCTCGCGTTTTTCTGGATGTGCTGCCCATTAGTATGCAGCGTGCATACTGTTGGTGCAAGGGAATACGTCGGCGGTGCCACATGTCCGAGTTAGTGTTGATGCAGAGCCCATAAATTACACTTGAGCGTTCGCTCTTCTACCCCTGGTCTTGCTCTTGTGCGTGGTATTCTAGTTGGGGTTTTGTTTTTCTCTTCTCGGGAAACGAAAAATTTATCGAAATACTATTCTTTAGTAATAGCACTGTTGCATGGCTCTAGTGAGGTTTGAAGTATGCCTTTCTTTGAAATGTGTAAGGAGAAGGGGTAGAAATACGGTATCTCTTCCGACTTCGGCTGTGCAACTGACTTCAATGGCAGTAGCACATCGGTCTACGTAGCGGCAGTTGTGTCCTTATAGTCCTTAAAAACAGAAATGTATTTCTGAATGAAATAATGAAAGACAGTAGGGTGACCGAGTTGGGTGAAAATCATGGCAAAATGATAAGATCTGCAATTTACTGCTTCTCTTCTCCTCGCCTCCTGTTTTGCCCCTGGAATTCTATTGTTCTTGATGTTTTAAGCTTTTTTATGGTTGGGTAAGTGGGGAAGGGTGTGGATTCTGCTATGCATATTGTCATTGATTTACAGATTGCTTTTCTAAAACTGTTCTGCTAACAGCTGGATTGCAACCTTGAGAACGAGAGAATGCAGCAGTTTTACAAAGGAGACTGGGATTCATTAGACTCCTTTAGTCTCAAGCCCTGATTCTGCAAATATTTAAGCACAGACAGTTTCACATGCCTGAGTTACCCACCGAGTTCCATGTGATTACTGCTTAGGATCAAAACTGTTTACACTATCAGGGCCACAGAATAGGCTCACCAAATCTGGTTAAAATTAGACTCTCTCTAGTTTTCTGTCTACAATGAAGTTTATTCGGCCATTTATATTTCTTGGGAAAACATTCTTACTGAGATAAAGCACTGTTTAAAAAGACTCTGGCATCCATCCTGTAAAAACCTAGACAGTGAGTATGAAAATACTCCATAGTGTATTTGCAGTATGTTAAGTATGGCATAAATTACATGCAAAGTCATAACCTTTTAATATGTAAACAAAACTACAAGTTGCAGTTCTCCTGACTAACACCGAAAATGTCTGTCTTGTGTATGTATGAAGTAAAAAAGAATACAGGACTTACCTCTTCTCCTTTTCCCAAATGTAAATGGCTGAAATACATTTTATCCGTTATTTACTAAGGGAATAGTTATCAGATATGTATTTATATCTCTAGATCCATTACATAGCTGATGTCCCAGTCAAAAGGATTATATTTTTTCCTGGAAAATTAGTCTCAGACAATGAAATAATTTTTTGCACCCTTAGTGCAACGTTCCAAACTGCTTGGTACACCTTTTAATGGAAGTCTGTGTGGTAGGTACCAGAAGTGACTTTCTGGAAAGTTTATTTTGGCTGCATGAAAATGACCCTTATTCAGTCTTTTTTGGAGGTATGCTAGGACTAACACTCTGTTTCTTTTCATGTATAAATTAAATCATTATAAAATCCACAGGGAATATATAAATTCGTAGGGCTAAATTAAATCATTGGCCTCACACAGCGAGAACTGAAAATACAAAAGCTTTGTACCTTTCCAGACACAGGACTAAGTTCTGCAAACCTAGGCATATGAATGGCTTCACCCATGTAAGTAGTTCATGTAGAAATCGGTGGAACTTGTCACTGGAATTCTAATATTCCTATGCTTATGTTTTTGAAGAATGATATCCCAGAGAGGGAATTTATACATAATTTTATAGTTTCAACTTATGCTACTGTAAAACAGCACTTGCATATGATCCTCAGTGTTCTACTTGATCACAGATTTACTAATATCTGCGCTGCTAGTTGTTGAATTTATTAAAAGAAATCTGGATATTTGTAGTATGTTGCTATCAATGGTTAATGTCATTTATGTATTAAGAGTACAGGTCCATGAACAGGAGTGTATTTTATGCAGTTGTGAGGAACGGTGTTCACAGTACAATCTCCCACTGAGTTTATGATAAACATACAGGAATGCTGGAGAAGAAGCTAATGGAAAGTGTGGGGACAGTTTTGAGCAAACAGTTTATCAAGAAGATGATTTATAGAGTTGAAATTTAAGGGAGATTTGTCATCATTCTTTATGTAAACTTTATGCTGTGATTGTTTAGTATCTACAGTTAATGCAGTGGCAGTGCTTCATAGCACACTAAGTATATGCAGGATTTTATATTCTAAATCAAGGCAAAAAGGACTCTTTTTTTTTTTTTTTTTTTTTTAGAAAGAGTAATCTCTAGTTACTTTGATAGTAGATTATACCGTGATACGCTCAAGCATGAGTTTATTTTGAGAACATGATCGTGACTTCATGCCCTAGTCTTTGAAATTCAGACTTAAAATTTAATAGGCGTTGATTTGGGATGTCCACATATCTTCCTTATGTATAATGAAAAATGAAATTAAATTTCAACAATGACAGCCAAAGCCAAAAGGAACTTATTAAAGCAGAGGCAGAACTGGATTCTTATTTGAGGTAGGACTGGTAAATTCCCTGAAACCTCAAAAAAGGAGGGGGGGGGAGGAAGGAAGCGCTAGGAGTGAAAATTTGTCAGGCCTCCTTTGATCAGGAGTATTTGAAATACCTGTTGGATATTTCAGTCTGTATATACAGTCTACTTCTTCCCTGTGAGAAGAGATTTTGTGTTACTTTACTGAACAGTCCTAAAGCTGGTTTAGCTGTCTGCTGGGAATACTTGTCTAAAGTAAAGTGGTGTAATGTCATACATTATGCTTCTTTGCATACCATTGGTAAGTCACAGTTATTTTCAGGTTGCCTTTGGTAATAAAGACAAACCTGTGTGTTCAGCTGTATGCTTACATCTTGATAAAGTTTGACTTGTATTCTGAATACGCGTTTTAAACAAATAACAGAAAAATTTTTAGGTTGGATTGCCCACTTCTTACTGCTCTATACTGTTACTACATGTGTATATATATTTTTTTTTTAAAGAGCAAATAAGATATTATCTTAACGGGCCCGGGAAAAAATGAATTAACCTACAGTTTCTTAATGTATTGATGTTAGTATCTTAACATGTGTTGCTCTCATATCACCCGAAAGTGATTTTCATACTTCAGCTCAGGGTTTTCTTTGCATTCCCATATGATGGTAAATCCGCTTGAGCCCTGTGAAAGCAGACTGACTGGGATAATAAGGAATGTGCTAGAATCTTTTTTTTGTGTGTGTGTCTCTCTATGGTCTAACTTAGAGTTTTAAAAATTAAAGCCACAATTTATACAACTTTGAGAGCTTGTTCCACTGTTATGGAAGGTGAAGAAGAATCCCAGGTGAAGTACAGATATGTCTTTGTATTGCTCAGAGTCAAGTCTGATTGAGTGATCAATAAAATGAACATTCTTTACTTCTTTTTGTGCCAGAGCAGCCATGCTCAATTATTCTATGAGGTTTCTGCAGAGTAGGGCAGGTTCACTTAGAGCCCCTCTCATTTTTGGCAGAGGTCTTTCTGTTTGATTAAGTCTTGCATTTAGCAAGATTTAGATCTGATAAACTGGAGATCTTTCTAAACAGCATGGCAGGTTTTCAGTGGTTTCCATTCATGGATCTACTACTGTTTGCTTTTTCTGTCATGGCGTATTGTAACGTACTGTTGTATACTGGTACAGTGAGTTTGATAAAAGCTATGTCTGTGTAAGTGAAATAGGAGGTGAATCTTAGGCATGGTTTTAAGCAGTTCTTTTGAAAGTTTTATGCATTATGCAAACCAGAAATACTTCTAACTGGTGAAGAGGAGATGTTAAGAACCAAGGGGCAGATAAGCATATAATAAATGGAGATGTTTATTCCAACTGTAATGAGCATGAATTGGACATTAAAGTGGTAATAGAGTAAGATAGCTGTACATGAGGTATGCTAACTTTTACCTCCAGATTGTTTGCTCCTTAAAGACTTGCGTTAATTCTGGTGCCTTACATTGCAAGTTCAGTATTTGTAACAGATATCCGTTGCTATGACAGACAGAGGCAAACTTAAAATACAGTCTGTAAGAAAACTAATGCAGTATTGCATTGATTGAAATTTTGTAGGTGGTGACAGTGGATTGGATGGGTTAGGAGGACCAGGAGTACAACTTGGAAGCCCTGATAAGAAAAAGCGCAAAGCAAATACACAGGTAAATTCCCTTTGGTTCTTTTGATTTCTTAATACATAGTGCACTCGGATGTTATTTGCTGGTATGACTCTCGCATTGTTCTGAATATCAGTCTATTCTCACCAATAGCAGTTAAATACAAAAAATTTCAGTTGTACTGTGAAGTTGAAATCTTCATAATACTAGTTATTCTCATGGAAGTTATTTTAATCTCTGTAGGTTGCCAAAGACCTATAAAGAGAGGAACACAGTGAGACTGCAACAACTTGTATTTTGCCATATGGATTTGATTCTGAGACAGACTTTCTTTTAATGACTTTATAGCCATCGGTAAAAATCTGTACAGCATGAGTAGTTGCCATGAGACTACTTTTCTTCTTAGTTTTACTCTTATATGTGCAGGTTTGTGGGCTAATGGATTGGTACAGTTTGTTAATACTTTGACCAAACTCTTGGCATATCCCCCAAGTGATTTTTCAAGCAAAAGCTGTGAGGCAGGTTCAGCTCCTTTCCAGTGAATCCCTGCAATTTGGCATTTCTATACAGTTTCTGTTTCCAGAAAAGGAAGCCTGAATACGAAACATCTAAAGCAATTAGGTATCTGTAGTGCAGGATTTTCCGTTGTGTGTTCATTCAGCTTTGAGTGAGAGTATCTCTTAATTTGGTACTGCTCAGTGAGAGTAATTTTATTTATGTAGGTCAAACAATCACTTTCTGTTAGGCCTATCCAGATTCCATTGAGATGTGGATCTATGTTCTTAATTTTTGTTTTGTTTTAAAGTAGTCACGGTGAGACCTGCTCTGAGAAACATTCAGTTAATTTAACGGTTTCAGACTTCTTTCTTGGTGGAGCTTTCCTTGTGTTCTGGAATGGTGATAACTGTAGAGGGCATGCAGATTAGTTTCCTCTCTTCTTACCAGGTTCAAAATTTGCGGCACAGCAGAATTTTTTTTGGGGAAAAAAAAAGTTCAGTCTTAGTTTATTAGTATTTAGGAGGAAATGCTTTCCGTGAGCACAGTTAGTTTGAGGGTGAACCAGCTAGATGTTCCCCACAGGCTAGTCTAGAATGAAATTCAATTGTATAGCCACTCTGATGACATTTAAACAGCCTCTGGGCTCCATTAAACACTTGATTATGCTCTGTAGCCAGAAATCCTTGTATTTTATACCTACTGACTATGCTTTGCAGACTGTCCACAATCACTGAATGCTCATAAGGGACACCTCTGTTTGGTACACAGAATATAGAAAATTCTGATACGCAGACTCTCCTATATTCTATACACCTGTTTTAGGGTTATAGTAACATTCGGTTTGTATATCCTCATAGAAGTGGAGTGTCTCAAGAGATGTATATTCAGTAAAATGGACCCAAAATGAAACTTAAGGAAATGCTTCAAATCTGCTGTTCAACATTTGGAAGTATTTTGTGCATGTGTTTAAGTGACACATGGCTTTCTGTATTGTTGCTTTTCTTATGTAAAAGATTAAGAAATAGAAGTCACATATCAAGTACTATTTTCAGAAGCATGGTTGTGCAACTGCACAATTTTTAAAACACTGAGATTACTATAAATCACCATGTTATCTGGAGCCCAAACTCCTCTCTTGCCTCCGTATTGAAATTTCAGACAGCCTGGCAGGGTACAGCGGGTGATCTTTACACAACAGCTGAATAGTTCTTTTAGCAGTAGTGGTGCTAATCCACGACCTTTGTGGTTGGTCTGTCTGGCAGGGAAATACTAAAACTAATTTAAATGTTGTATTTAAAATATTTTTAGGGATCATCATTTCCTCCTCCATCTGAATATGCTCCACCGCCGAATCCAAGCTCTGACCACCTTGTAGCTGCAAATCCATTTGATGACAACTATAACACTGTGTCTTATAAACCACTTCCTTCAGGAAATCCATATTTCAGTAATCCTGGTTATCCTGGCTTTGGAGGCTATAACACTTTCAGAATGCCACCTCACATGCTGCCCAGAGTCACCTCGCCATATGGTGGTTCTTACTCCCTCAGAAACCAACCACATCCCCTTCCTCAAAACCCTGTGGGAATGGGTTTTAGTCGACCCCACTCTTTCAGCTTTGGTCCACATGATAACCCAGGTTTTGGGAATCAACCACCTTATAGTAGTGGTCAGATAAATCAAAATGTCAATATGCCTGGTCAGCATTTCAGACCAAATCCTGGTGAGAACTTTGGTCATTCTGGTCAGATACCTCACCCTGACGTGCCGTCTAACTTTGGTCCTGGAAGCAATCCAAATTTCCCAAATTCTCAGCTAGAGTCAAACCATTCTTTTGTTCCTCCACCAAACACGTACAACCAGACAAAATCATCAGCACAAAAGCAAGACTTTAGTCAAGGTGGAAACAAAGCATCCAGCCAGAACACTGCTGTTCATCAGCATCATCACAGGACAGAGGACATTGTGAGTCAAGGTAACAGTGACCTAAAAAATGTTACTCGAAACAATGTGGTAAATCAGGATAATAGCCATTCTAATAGTGCTGATAACACTAATGCTAGTCATTCAAATGGGACTCAGAGTAAGTCCCGCCAGCCTCGAGGTACTGCTGAAGGATGCAACTCTGAAAAGAGCAGCAAAACACCCCTTCATCCCAGTCGTCATGGTCACTCGTCCTCTGAACCGGTCTATCCATGTGGAATTTGTACACATGAAGTTAATGATGACCAGGATGCCATCCTGTGTGAAGCCTCTTGTCAAAAATGGTTTCATCGTATCTGTACAGGCATGACTGAGTCAGCTTATGGCCTTCTTACAGCAGAAGCATCAGCAGTATGGGGTTGTGATACTTGCATGGCTGACAAAGATGTCCAGTTAATGCGTACAAGAGAGACTGCAGGACCACCTGCTTTGAATACGGATGGCTAACAAAGTGAGTTGGTGGTAGTGGTTGAAATACTTGCTATGAAGATTTGGTTACAAATTGGGTACTTCACTTTCTGCAGACAATCAGTTGTGTTTGATTGCTGTCATCTTTTTTTCGCTAATCTGTTTTCATTCATAAACTTCCATCTCAGCTTTTGTACTCTTGGTTTTATGTGTGCAAATGTTTTACAGGATGGAATATTTTTTTGTTTCTGATTAAACTGTAAAACATAACTGACAATTTATTAGAAGTAGGATGTGCATTGACAATTTTACTGAAGGCAAAAATGTGCCCGTATGAATAGCCCCAAATTTGCTAGTGTTAATGTGTTAACTAACACTAGCATTTAGTGCTTGGTTTTAATGGTACTATATTTGCAAGTACTCATTACATTTTATTTCTTTGAATATAGTGGTGATGACATGGAGGAATTTGCAGTACTAATAGTTTTTATTTTAGGGTAAATACAGAGAATTTCATATCTGCTTTTTCCTATTTTTGAAGTAAAGCATTAACACACTATTCAAAAATTGATGACTTCATGCTTAGTAACACAATGAAACCTGCAACTCTTACACATATATATTTCCTTGAAAAGGCAATGATCTCTTTTGACTTCTCAGCAAATACTTACTTGCTGAAGACTCTTGCTAGGTCTTGCAGTATTTGGATATAGTTACAAAATATGATTACATTGGAAAAAGAACACATCGAGTTTATGAAGTCCAGTGCTTTAAATCTAGAGAATACCAAAACTAGGGTTGCATATGTAACCTTAATTAATTTATCTTGAGCACATACATTAGGATACGGTCTCTGCATCTGTCGCGGTTGTGCACTCATGCACCTCTCTCTCATCTTTTCTCATTGATGGTTCTGGTCTCCCACCTCAGTGCTGCCTGAGAATTCTGAATGAACTAGGGCAGGGAAAGTCCTGCCCATCTGCTAGGGCTTTCAACTAAAGCCTGCTCGGTCATCCTGAGCTTACGCAGTCCACTTGGCATGAAGGAGGGTGCAAGGCAATGGGGTGTGCTCAGCATAGGCTCTGAATTGCAAAATAATTTGGCCAGCGAAGTCTTAAAACTGAAATTTAAAACTTAAAATTCCCACCACTGCCTCAGCCTGTCTTGCAGTGAGGGGGTGAGAAATCTAGGGTGAAGAAAAATACAGCTTTCACATCAGGTGCGTTTAGCTCACATCAGGAGCAAGTAATCAGAAGTTTAGCTTCTTTGCTAAACTTGATATCCTGCTGACAAGTATGAATGACACTAGAGCTTCATGCGTGATGCTAAGAATTCTATTTTAATATGGGCAATTTGATCTTATTCTTGATCTCAAAAATACCACCCCCCCTTTTTTTTTTAACGTGGGGAAACAGCTAGCTTTGAAGACTTCAGCCTTACCGGTGTGATAAAGTTGCATATGCAACTGAAAATGTGTGTTTCTGTAGAGAGAAGTGTTGTTTTTACTTAATAAAAGGTGGCACTGTAATAACAGACTCTGCTTGTAATACTCACCAGTGTGCTGGGAACTTTGAGTTTTTAAACAGTCAGCGATTAAATCTTATGTCAAGCATTACAGGTAGTAGTCATGTTCCTTAATGTGATAAATTGTTCAGGCCTGTGGTGATGAGTGATGTAGCAGCCTATATAGAATACCGTCATTTTATATAAAGAGGTCGTTTTTATGGTAAGCTATGCTAATGAGTGAAAAGTAAGGCCTGTTCGCTAGTTCACTATTGTGTTTGATTTTAAATGGGCTCTACTGTGGTACTTTCCTGGAAGATACTGTGCAGATCTACATAACTGTCCTTGTTTTATTTTAAAAGTGATAAGTTTTATAAACTCTTTTACTGGAGAAGTGCAGTATTGCCTTCCGTTTTTGTCTTGCCTCTCATCAGGAAAAAGGAAATAATGTCTAAATTGTAAATGACACAATTCATATTTTGAGGATTTCCTGTATGGAGATGTAAAGAAAGTGTAAGGCAGATCCAGGGCTTCTGTTTTTATCACTATTTACTTTATTTAGTACAGAGACTAAACTTTATCTTGTTTTGTTAGAGGTGTGATACTGAAAAACAAACAACAAAAAAACCAACCAAGCAACAACCTCTCTTAGATTTATTTTTCAGTAGTTTTCCTAATGACTGACTGACTGTTAGAATCTGCTTTTGGTATCTAAAGTAGCAATTAAACCAAACCTTGTTTAGATAGATTTGTTCCTCTGGAAATGAATTCGATCTCTGCAACAACTTGCACTGTGAAGGTAGTGGAGCTGGTTCAGACCTACAGCAAATGACATAAAAAATGTGGCTCAGTGAAAATTCAGCAATAGCTCCAACAGTGATATTGTTACCTAAGCATGCTGTTTACAATACCTTACCCACTCCCACACCCCATTCCTGTTGTGAGAAGACATTTGGGGCATTTGTTCTCAGAAGTCCAATTAATGTTCTAACGTTTTGGAGCAGATGTTGAATTTAAAATAGCCATGTATTTCTTAATCTCTTCCTCAACCCTACATGAAGTTAGGTAAGTGTTCTCTATATTAGCTAGCAAGACATTAGAATTTAAATATAGTGTTCTTACAAATTTAAAATCAACTGGAGTATAATTTTATAAGGCCTTAAATTGTGTATTTGTGAAACTTATTCTAACAGTTTATTTCAGTTTTTCTAAACTGGTACTTGGGTTTGTAATCCAGTATATTTTCTGCGTTTATTAACCTACAAATTCAAGGCATTAGCAAATGCCAATTATATCAAATAAAAGCAAATGAACAACAAAGCCAAACTTGTTATCACACTGATCATAGAGATATGACTGATTAGGATCTCCAGAAGTCATCCAGCCAGTATGCTCTTGGCATACCTGGACTCTTTATCTAGAGAGAGGGTTATACTTTGTTTTTCTCTGCATGTATTGCCTAGTAGTAGTTCAAGTATGCACAGGAAAAACAACAATCATGTTTTGTCAGTAAGGTACTAGGAAAATGTCAGCTGGTTAGAATTAGAAATTAGTTATAGAAGGGTGGGTGGGAGGGTTGATTAGAATAGTTGAGTTTTTTGTAATAATCTACATGAAACAATTTCTATTGAACTATCATGTGCTTCTTTCATTACTAGTGATTTAGACTGTACTTGTGCTGCACACCAAAAATACTGCAAAGATTTTGTAAATCTTACAAACCTTAACATTTTTGTGGGAAATGCCTGCGTCCTTTTTAAATAGCTCCTTGTCATGGTCAGAAATGCAGCCTATATTGCCCAAAATATTCTTTTGTTTTGTTTTTGCCCCCCCCCCCGGCTCCAGGCTGAAATAAATAAGTATAAACTGGATTGAACTGTCCTTAATACTTAAGATTTTTTGCCAGAGACCAGTTTTAAATGAGGAAAATATGTAATTTGCTCTTTAAAATACTTGTTTTATCGGTGTCAGAGTAAGTGACAGTGCTGCGTATAGGCTAGAGGGTAGATATCAAAAATCCTGTTTCTGGGTGCTTTACTGATCCCTTTGCTTGAGACAAGCAGGTTAACTGTTTGTACCTCAATCTCTTCTTTCAGAAGATCAGACTAATGCTTACTTCCCGAGGGTGTTTAGAGGCCTAGTTATTGTTTGAGATCTTCAGATTAAAGAGACTAGAGAAAAGTAATAATGTTTGCTCTATTTAAAACAAAAATATAATTTTGGGGGCTGCTCAAAGAAGAATATACTTTGTGACCTCTGAAGTTTTTTCATCTAAGAACCAGTTTTGTAATCACATTTTTCAGGCTTATCTTCAAGCATGTGAGAATTAATGAAGTCAGTGGAACTGCATGCACACAGTCAAGAACGTTTCAAAGTGTTTGCAGTTCAGTGCCTATGATATTTGCGAGTGAAATGCTTTTTATGGTTTGAGATTTTTACAAAATCAATGGTGTTCAAATGTAGCACCTTTTTAACATTTGTCTTTATTCCAACTTAATACGATAACACGTCTGCATTAAATCTATCCCTTTCATTTTATAAATAAACATTGCCTGGCAGTAAAAGTATTGGTGTAACATTTTTTTAAGACAGGAAGTCATGCTTCTTGTCATGTTCTATGTGACTTAAATGACTGTTTCATATTAAAACTAATCTTTCCTTATGTACTGCTTAAATATACCTGTTTTGGGATATCAGTTCAGTACTTTTTATACGATCTTGAATGTGTTCCACATTGGTGACATGTATTTTTGCAACAACTTTTTTGTTTTGATTTTAAATTAGAGCATGTCTGAAGTAATACATGCATTAGTGCTGTGGTGTGTGGCAAAGTTAATGTATGTAATTCAAATTGGAAAAAAGTTTCCAGACTTTGTCCAACATTAACCCTGTGGCCAGGGATTAAATTACTATGTAATACAAATTATTTCATATCATGATGTGTTTTAAGCTACTCTATGAAGTATGTGAAACGTTATTGTTTATGGATTGGTAGCTGGCGTGGTATCTTGCGTAGAATGAGGTATGATAGATGGTAGCAATTCATGGTAATTAAAACTGACTACCTTTCAGAACACGCAGCACTTACGTGCATTGTCATCTTGTTGCCATAACTGTTAGTACGAATTTCTTAATATTATCCACTGACAAATGGGTGAACATTTGGTAATAAGCTCATGGGTGTGAAAATTCTATTCTAACACTCTTTACTTGGTTTACAAAACATGTAATTTTTTTATCTATTGGATGTGATTAGATATATGCAGGAGGATGTAGAACTGGATGTATTTTAAAGTTATTCTGCAATTACTAACTTTTGTCTGAAGCTTTCTATATTAGAATAGACTCTTCCTTAAAATTGGAAAATTAAGTGTACTTAGCAGAACTCTTGAGGCAATATAACTATCCTACACTACATCTTGAGTTATGCACATTCACTTCTTTGTATGGAACTCCTCTGATTTCTTGTTGGCTTATGCTTTATATGAAAATAAAGGGTCCCTTTAGTGCCCTAGTCTTGTGTGTCATCAGTTTTGAGGTAATTAATTCTGAATGGTGTTCAGCCCCTTAGAGGTGCTGCCTATAGCTTAAAGTATTCAATGTCACCTTTAGTTTCCTGGTTCAGAAGCGGCTTATCTGAACATCATAGGGAATACCTATTTTTGTGTTGTTTGCCATAAGTGATTAATTTCCCTTTTCGTGTTCAAACAAACTGTCTCAAAATAAGTTTTGATCCAACACCACCTTTTTACTCGGAGGTTTGTGCACTGTAATTCAGGAATTGCTGTACTGGAGACAGTTTGGGATTGGAGTCACGAGAGATGTGTCTATTCCTAGACGCTCATCTTCTAAAGGATGGTCTAAATCTGAACTTCCATATAACTTAAGGAGGGCAAGCTTTTAATTTTTTTTTTTTGGCCTTTCTTGATAGTTTTTTCTGAGCTGTGAAATAATACGGAGTTGTTGAGGGATTTTTACTTAAGACAGTCTCTCCTCCAAGCTCTTTTATATGGCCCTTAGAGCAGACACTGTGTTCTTTAGGGCCTTCTGACTTGGAATTTTTTTGTCCACATTCTCCTTTCAGTGTTAAAGATGAGTTGAAAAAGGCAAGTTACCAATCTACTGCCATCCAAACAGTGCAAAATATAAGCTGATTAAGATTGTTGACATTTTTTTGTTAATAATGATGTGATATTTTACCTTTTAGAAGAACATATATCAGAATCTGATTCAAGCGTTCTTGGAAAATGTATATGGTAGATCTTGTGGAGCACTGTATGTAACTTTGTTGCTTTCTGTTGTCTGGTTTCAGTTTCTTTTCAAATAAAGATAATTTTTTTGCGGGGAAGTTGCCTCTTGATTTTATGAAGATGATGTAATGTCTAGATTGACTCTTCTAATGTTTTGCCTGTGAGAATGCATTTGGATTAGGTATAATCCTGCAAGAAACAGTATGAAGTTGTATTGATCAGAAAAGACAGCTCCTGCCTCTCTTGGAGAGGTCCACTGTTCTGTAAAGGCATTAATCTGAAGTAACTTCAAAGCAGATTAGAAGAGGTCATGCACCATAAGACCCATTTCTTTCTTACAGGATGGGAGGGAAGGCTCAGGCACCATTTGGCTGAATAGATTTTTTTTAGAGCTTTCTGCATTTGGGAAGAGTTTATGCAAAGAATTATTTATTCTAATTTATAAAATTATTACTAAGATATTGCTGTTTGTTGAAATGCCAGAACTAACGCATACCAAATCAGTACTTTATCAATAATCTCTAAAAGCAACTGATATGGGTGGTCCCAACCCACACATGCAAAACAGTTTGTTGGAATAAATAGCATCTCATAAAATGTTCCTGCTCTTCTTAAAAAACACGGAGGGATGAGAGAAATGAGAGAGAATTTAGAACGGATGGGAGGGGAAAAAAGGTTATTTATTAAATTAAAGATAAGAAAATGTAAACTATTTAAAGGATTTTCCCCCCCATATATTAAAGCCTCTGAAGCCATTAGAAGTGAAATAACCCCTGGAAGAGATGTGTGTATGTATTGGCAACTGGAAGGTCCAGAGTATCACTAATATTATTAAGATTTGACTGGAATACAAATCTCCATCCTTCATAGCACAGGAGATGGGAATTTAAGAATAAAGTTTTCCAGGGAAAATTTTATCTCCTTTCTCTACAAAGTTTCTTGCACTTTTGACTGATAAGTTCGTGCCAACAGAACAAACATCCTGAATGGACCTCTCTTTTGGTTTATGTTGCAAAAGTATCGTAGCGAGAGCTCAGTTACTCATCCAAGTAAGCTAGCAATGTGGAATGTGTATGAGATAGGTGGCGGTTCTGCAGATACACATCAATGCCAAGACTTCTAAGGTTGATCCAAGACCTTTTTCAGTCCCTTTTGTGTCTTTTAGCAGCTAATCTGCTACTTTGACTTAGAAATGTGTTAGTGACATTTACTGTGCCTTCTATGAGTTATGTATAGCTTTGCATTGGAGATCTAGCTTTTAAGTAAATAGACTTCTTTGTTAATGTATTGGAGCTATTTTGTGTAACTTGAGAAGACCAAATACAGGTAACCATAACTATGTCCTGTCTTGTAAAGTGTGCATACATAGTATGTTCTTTCTGGCAGGAACAAATAATAAGCTGCTTTATTCCAGTATATTCTCTGTGATTAAACTAAAAATGACGCCTGGATGACCAAGGCAGAAGACCAGCACTCAACAAATCTAAAACTTTCATTGTCCGTGAATGAACTCTCCAAAACTGAAGGATGCATTCTGGATGACTACAGCTGCGTTCTGGAGTGGTAGGAGATTTTGAGTTACTGTTACATTATAATCATTCTAGCCAATGCTGCTATTGGAATGCCTTGATTTAAAACAAAACACTATCCCCTCTAACCCGCAACTCTTCCATTATGTCATCTAGGAAGCAGGCAAATAGGATTTTGACTACGGTGTGCAGTTTTGGCATCTCCATTTTTCAGTATAGTAGAACTGGGAAAGCTTCAGAGGTCAGCAAGGAAGATAAAGCGATGTAAAAGAAATGGAAAAAAGAACGTCTCTCGGTGGAGAAAGGTCGATAAAAAAATGAATGGCACAGAAGGGATGTTTACAACCTGCTTGTTTCATCCTTGTCTGCAGTTGCCTGAAGTTAGTCTTGCAAGACATACAACTAAGATAAATAAAGGTAACATGAGACAGGTTTAAAACAAACAGGAGGAGTTTTGTTCTCACAGAATCTTTCCTCAGCTTTTATTTAATTACTTGTTTTCTCTTACAGCTTCTTAGACTGATAGCAGTCCGTTTATGGAGATGTCATGGTTTAAGTCTAGGTTCAGAACTATAAACCACACAAGTCTCATCTGCAGCTGACAGCAAGGCTCTTTATGCCACGGTGCAGATCCTAGCATAAGTCTGAAAATATGTATCATGCAAGGTTTAAAAAAAAAAAAAAAAGTCACAGGTGCCAAAAATACCTAAAGCATTTTGACTTTCAGTTAAATCTCTTTCCTCTTGTACTTTTGAATGCTCTTGGAATGAGGACTTTAATTCAGTTCTCAGATTCCAGTCCATGCAAGCATTCATCCAGATGATACCGTTGTGGGTGAATGAGGGTGGAGAATAACCCAGAAATCACACACACGCGCGCACGCGCACACACACACACACACTCCCCCCCCCCAATAGTAACCGCTACCATTTGAACATTGCTTTGGAATATGGGTAACAGAACATAAAAATTAAATACTCAGTGATACACATCAGAAATCTTAGTGCGTGCAATGTTAAACTCAATTTTTCTTGGTCGTATTTTAAAAGAAAGAAAAGGGGGGAAACTGGACTTTTTGGTTCTGGATTTTTTCCAAATAGTTCTAAGTAATCGTATACTTTTGAGGAACTTAAATATACCCGAATGTTTATCCAAATGTGTTTGGCTTGTCTTTCAACCCATATTCCCCAGCAGCAGTTGCTTTCTATGTATGAGATTTTATGCTGGCAGACAGAGTGTTACTATTTGTTTGAGGAAGGTTGAGCAACAATGTGCAAACTACCTCCCAAGATTTTGGCAAAGACAGCAAAATAGGCAATACTGCGAGGCAATAGCAATGGACCTGGCAGTGTGACCTCATTATTTCAGAGGACATCTGGAAGTTTCAGTGCATTGCTAAATCAGTCCTCAGCTTTTAATAGCTTTTACCAGGAATTCTCAAACTAATAGCAGTGTCTCTCTCTGTGGAAGTGTGTTTGGCTACTAAGAGCTGCGTTCCTTCCTACTCTGCTGAGGTGCGAGTGATGAGAGCCGGGGCGCTGCCCTACATTTGCACTATCTTGGCAAGTCCGTGAGCCAACATCTACAGTAGAGTTTATATCGACTGATCTCGCCGAGTTCTAGAAAGTCAAAGATACTGTACGCCTGCTTCCCTTCCTGCACCGTTACCCTGAGCCCCAGGGACAGTCCCCGTGTTAC